GGCTGTCACCCGCTGTCCCGTGGCCGCCCCGGGGTAGCAGCCTGAGCTTGCCACCCCTTCCTGAGCTGGGGGGATGTGGCTCCATCCGCACAGGGCAGACACGCCGTCCCCTCTGCGGGGAAACCCTCAGGGGGCTCCCGCTGCTTGGGGGGGTTGAGCACCCATACGGGCTCCCCCGCGGGGGCTTCTCCATCTCTTCCTCAAGCACTGGAAAGGCGACAGCAGGCAGAGCACCACAGCCCGGTGCTGTCCAGCCCTTACACATCCAGGAATTTCCTCGCTGCGCAGGGGGGTTCTTGCAATTTCCCAAAAAGAAAGCTGGCAAAGGGAAGGGCATGGGCTGTTCAGGGCTTAAAGGGCGGCCATAGGAAAGGTGGGGACAAGCTTTTTAGCAGGGCCAGCTGGGACAGGACAAGGGGGGATGGCTTTAAACTAAACCAGGGGAGGTTTAGACTGGATCTAAGGAAGAAATTCTTTACAGTGAGGGTGGTGAAACCCTGGCAGGGGTTGCCCAGAGAGGGGGTGGAGGCCCCATCCCTGGGAACATTCCAGGCCAGGTTGGCCGGGGCTGTGAGCAACCTGATGTGGTTCAAGGTGTCCCTGCTCCTGCAGGGGGGTTGGGCTGGGTGACCTCTAGGGGTCCCTTCCCACCCAGACCACTCTATGATTCTATGGTTCATCTTTGACACCCATGGGGTCCCTTTCCAGAGACTGAGAAATCCCCAGCCCCCAGGGTGTTACTTCAGGCAGCCTGGTTTACGATAATCCCGTGCAGATGACCCCTCCCAGGCGGCCGTCTCCCTTGTGCTGCACCATACGGCACCCCAGACCAGGCCCTCGTCTCAGCCAGGTACCAGCTTTGCCCAGTTGCTGGGCTTCTTCCTGAGCAATTAATCTCCTTGCAGCATCCTTCCCTTGGGACAGGCCAGGGACACTGGGAAGCAGAGGTGGGGCCACAGCCGCCCTGGGTAAATGTCAGCCAGGAGAGCGTGGGGATGTGGGACTCGGAAAGGTAGCCCACAGAGGTGCCCTCTGGCATGGCAGACCCCCGGGAGGTGGCCTGGGGGGGCCAGCTGGAGGGCATTGAGCAGCATTCCTTTCCTGACGGTGCTCATGGCTGCGCTCCAGCAGCGGTGTGAGCTGCCAGCGCCCGGCGGTGAGGGTCAAAGTCTGGCTCGGGACACAGGAGCACCATGCGGCTTCATGTCGCATGACACCGTCACCCTGTCCCCGTGCATCAGGGTGTACGTGAGCATGGGGCATCCCCTCCATCTCACACGAGTGCTAACGAAAATGCACCCAAACTGCAGGTATGTGCACACCTGAGCACAGCCGTGCCCACACATCCCCGCGTGGAGCTGGTGTTTTCTGCCCCCTTCCTTCCACTTACCCAAGGGTGTCACGGCGCAGGAATTTGAGGGCACATCAGCAAATTAACAACCGCCCCGCTCCTGGCGTGCTTGGGTGGCACAACGCGCCTGGGAGCTCTGCAGGAGTTTGATCCCATCAGCCTCCACCTGGGACTGGGCGTTTTCCCTGGTGACCAGCTCCCATGAAATGCTTTTGAGGATGAGGAGCAGGTGGGGGGAAATTCCCAGTGCTGACACCTCCAGGTCTTACCACAGGTCTCCTCCTGAATGGGAAATCGTGTTCCCTGGGGAAAAGAAATTATCTTGAGGCATGAGAAAAGGGCTATACAAAATGTTCCTGTCCCCTGGCTGGGCCGGTGCGATTTACTGTGGGACCAAACGGTTAACGGGATTGCTGGAAAGACCTGGATTAAATCACAGGGGTTTAGGTGCATTTTTAACCGAGATCCCTTTTGAGAAACCATAAAGCTCTGCCCAGAGCGCTGCACTCGCTTTGCCAAAGGCTGTGGGTGCCTCCCCCAGCATCCCCAGGGCGTCCTCAGCCGGGTCCCTGGCTCCTCGCTGTGTTGCCAAACCCCACCTCCAGCCGGGCGCTGCAGTAACTCGCTGTCACCCTGCTCCTTCCCACCCCTCCGCCCGCGGCCGCTGCACGCTCCAGCTCTGCTGGGCCCAGCGCTGCCCACGAAGGCACGATGCGAAGCAGGAGCTGAGCAGGACCCAGAGCCCCTCCAAGCTTTTCCGCTTCTTTGGCAATTTTACACAGGGGGAGGAAGCGCCCATGGAGGCAGAGCTTGGAGCTGTGAAATGGAGCCTGGGGCAGAGGCAGGGCAGGGGCCTGTGCCCACCACCCCTCCCCGTGTCCCCAGACCCAGCCTTCCCGCTGCTGGGCACTGCCACGTCCCCCCTGAGCCTGGCGGGGAGGCAGCACTGGTGGGACACAGCTGGGACGGTCCCAGATCCCAGCCAGAGCGGAGCTTGATGACTTCTGCTTGTCCTTGGGGAAATGCTCTGGGGAGAAACACCCTCCCCGTGTGAGCTCTGCCTCGCCAAGGCCTCCCGCATGCCGGCTTTCGTCACACCAGTGACCGGGGACGCTTGCAAGCGGCTTGGGTGCATGTGGCTTGCTCCTGGATTGTGGGACTGGGAGGGTGGAGAGGATGTCTGGTGGTGCCTGATCAGGTCTATAAAAGCATTTCAAGGACAGGTTTAGTGGGAAATATCCCATGTGGCTCAGCCTCTCACCTGTAGAGGAAGACAAGCACCACGAGAGCTGGGGTGGCCTGGAGATAGGCGCCCCTTGCACGCCAGGGTCCCCCCCAGCGTCACTGATGGAGCTTGTGCTCGACAGGGCTACGCGGGGCGGCCCCGGGAGTACATTGCCACCCAGGGACCCATGCTGAACACCGTGACCGACTTCTGGGAGATGGTGTGGCAGGAGGAGGCACCCCTCATCGTCATGATAACCAAGCTGCAGGAGCGCAAAGAGGTACCGTTGTCCCTCCCCAGGCACAGCGCCCCAGCCAGGAGCAAAGGGGCGGGGGGCAGAGGGGTAATAACAACTGTAAAGGGTTATGTGAGGCCAAGTGTGGGGCCTGAGCACCCGCTGGCTTTCTCTGCTTTGCTCTCAGAGGGTACCCTGATGGTTGCACACGCAGGAGAAGAGCCCCGGGGCTGCAGCCTTGGCCCCATCCAGCAAAGCCTCTCCTCCTCACGTGGCCTCCTGTGCTCTGGGCATGCCCCGCCAGCTGGATAATAGGATAAAGAGATTAGGGCAACCCCTGGGAGAGGGAAGAGAGGCAGCGGTCAGCAGTGCCCCTCCAGCCCTCAGCAGCTCTCCTCCTAGGCTGGGAGCTCTCCTCCGGTAGATCCAGGCTGGGATGGGAGCCGGCAGCACCGTGCCCTGTGTGGGGGCTGCCCTGTGCCTTGGCCGGGACCCCCGGCTCCCTGTCGGGGCCGAACCTGCGCGGGGGCGCCCCCCCTCCCCTCCCCAGCCACATCCTTCCTCCCTGCTCCCCCTGGCCGGCGCAGCGTCCTTGTGCCCTCGCTGGGCAGGATGGGCCCTCCGGGGTCTGGCAGGACATGGACTGGCCCAGGCACAGCTCCCGTGGGGCTGGGGAGAGCCGGGCAGCCCTGGGGTCTCCATCCCTGTGGCAGGGCATGGGAAAGGTGAGGGGGAGCAGATGTGGGGAGGGGGATCTACCCCGTCCTCAGCTTCCCCTCTCTGCCACTCCATGTCCGCTTCCCTGCTCCCCCGCACCTCCCCAAGTGCTGCCCCTTCCCGAGAGCACGGAGCAAAGCAAAGCTCAAACATCCAGTGGGTGCCTGGAGCATCTCCACAGCTGTGAACCCTGCCTTGCTCTTTCAGAAATGTGTCCACTACTGGCCAGAGAAGGAGGGCACCTACGGCCCCTTCACCATCCACGTGCAGGGCGTGAGCGAGTGCGTGGAGTACGTGCTCCGGGACCTCTCCATCCAGGTGGGTTGGAGCTCCATCCCGGGGTCAGAGGGGGAGCCGGCAGGGGCCAGCAGTGCCCCCACACCCCCCAGGTTCCTGAGCGGGTGGCAACGCTGTGTGATGGGAGAGCAGAGGGTGGGGGGCTGGGGGAGCTGGGGCTGTGAGCCCCCCGCCAGAGGCAGGCTCTGCAGGGCTCCCTCCTGC